AATCTGCTCGAGCACTCCTATCTGGGCTCTCTAGTGATGTTCAAGCCCTTTCTAACAAAAGTAACTTGGATGAAGGGGTTGTCCGTTATTCAGAACCTGTAGAAACCAGTTCTCAAGCTTCAAATGCTGGTGTTGGCCCTGCAGTTAGACCTAAGTTCACTGTAGCAAAGCCCAGAACTGAGGCATCACATGCCAAGGATCAGTCAACAGTAATGGAAGTTCCATCCCTCTCAGATTTGGAGAATAAGGGAGCAGCTATTCTTTTAAATGATCACACAGGAGGGAGGCAGGCCTTCCGAGATTATCCATATTTGTTTGCCCAAGCTGGGGATCTTACATTTAATGACGTAGAAGAGCTTCTGAGTCAATACAAACAACTTGTTTTCAAGTACGTTTCCCTTTCTAAAGGACTGAATCTCACAACTGCATCTGCATCTTTGTCAAATTCTGAAATGCACTCCCAACCTCACCACGAGTCTCTTAAAGAATTTGAAGATGTTAGAGATGTGACATCAAATGATGAGTCAGCCGGAGAGCCACATAGGATAATTGATGGCTCAGATGGAACCTCACTGTTGGGAGAAGAAAACGACGAGACAAGGTAACGACGAGACGCCCCAATCCTAGCATCTCCCCAACAACTTCTGTGAGGCGAATCAATCAAATTGTTTCAGTCTGGCTATATCTTGTTTTGGTTCCTCAATTTTATGTCCATCAGCAATGAGCAAATCTCATGTGTAGGATCTGATCTTAGGTAGATGACGAGGAGTATGGCAATGAAAAGCAACAATAATTTAGCTTAATGTTGGTACCTGTCGGTGGATAGGAAATCAGAGCCTCCCCCACGAAGACAAACTAATGGCGACCGGACTGACAATTTGTTCCTGGCTTGTTTCCACAAGTATGTCTCTCTATTTTCCCTCCACTTGTCACATGGTAGCAATTTCATTGATAAATTTATAGATCGAAAAGACTTAGAATTTTATATCAATACACGTTCGATTCTTATGATCTCTTATGATCTCGCTTGATAACTATTTGGTTTCTTCTTTGTTTTTGAGAAAATTAAGGTTAGGAGAGTGTAATGGTTAGTGTGACGGTGGTGAGATTATGAAAACAGGGGTTGCTGATTAGTTAGGTGTGGAAATGCAATTAAATTTGATTGTAAATAGGTGGTGGTTTCTTAGACGGAGCCCCTCTCATTCCCTTTGATTGTGACCTCTGTTTACTTTTGTTATATTCAAACCATAAGAGTAGTGGGAAGGTCAAAGATTAAAACTCACACCTAACACGTTCATAATCAAGAAGCACAATTAATGTATGTATTTCATTGCCTTATTCTTAATTATTATATTCATGTATCTCTTAGTCAACCTAAGTTTCTCAAATTTACAGCTTAGGCTACCAAAACAACACAACTCTATCTCTATCTTAGTGCTTTACAACTAGGACTATTGCCCATAACACGTGCAGGTTTGGGAGACATGCCCGTTGCTATTAGACTAAATTAATGAAAATATCCTTAACTTTGTAGTTTGTCTAAAAAATACCTCTAAATTTTAAAAATTTTCAATAAAAAGGTTCAAAAAAGTACTCTTAATTTTTCAAAAAGTTTATTAATATTCTTAATTTTTTTTTTAAAGCTTTTAAAATACATTTTTTATTTACTTCAAACATATTTTTAATTTTTTTTTAAAAAAAATTCAAAAATATCCTTTTCCTAGATAATTTTGCCCAAATTTTTTTTTGAACTTTTTTGTTATGAGTAATATTCAAATATATTTCTACTGGTTAGGTTATTTTTAAACTTCTTAACCAGTTTTAAACTTCAGGGAAGTTTAAGATTATTTTTAAAATAAATCACTAAAAAGTTTCGATCCAAAACTATTGGTAAAAGTATTTTTGAGATTTTCTTAATAATTTTAAGGTATTATTAAAAGTTTAGATGTATTTTTTTTAGATAGATTATAAAATTTAGAGACGTTTTTAATAATTTAGCCTTATCCTTTAACCTATTATATTTATTATTATTGAAACTTTATTACATTTTTAAAATATTATTTTTGGGACCAAAAACATTAATAATTGAAGTGCACAAAATGGGTGCTTGATTGGTCAATCTTCATCCATGTGCCTTCCTATTTTCCTTCTGTCTTTTCAAATATGGAAGTCTGATTTGTCTCGCTTTGGCGTTATCTTTATATACGTCTCCCTATTTTTTTGTAATTCTAAATTTATTAGACACAAAATTCATTCGGAGTTCCGACTTAAAATTCTATCTAATAATGAATTGATTTTTTTTTAAAAAAAATTAAATATGGAGAGACCTAAGTTCAAGAACCAAATACGAAGACAAGGACCCTTTTTCTTTTATTTTTATTATTATTTATTTATTTTATAGAAATGAAAAACTAATAGATTGTTTCAAGATGTATTGACAAATGGTCAAAGAAAAAAAAAAGTAAATAATAAATATTTTCTTATAAATAATAATTAAATTTTAAAAAAATAAAAGGCAAACAATTAGTTTGGAATATCAAATGCGCGTGCGTTACACGTGACCTACATATGCTCTTCCCCTTGATGTGGCAAGCAACCCTACCGTTGATCGGTGATTAATCTGAACCATCCACCTGTATGGATTCTGTATACGTGGCTACTGGATATAGGACGGAGGGCCCACTTCTGACAAACAGGCCAGCTAATAAATATGTGCATATACATATTCGAATTAATAGTCACCTTTTAAATAAATATTTTAGAAAATTCAATTAATAAAGCAAAAAAATTTAAGTTATTTTAATTTCGTAATTGTTCTTTTAAATTATTAATTTTATTTTCATCTATTAAAATTATCAATTAGGTCTTTTTACAAAATAAAAAATAATAATTTAGATTATTAATTTATTAACATATTTGGATATGTAAGCATACTATTTAAATAATGATAATATTTATTAATAAAATGTTTGTGTACGACATTTTTCCATTATATTTTTTACAAGCATTAAAAAAATCTTTAAAACATTGGGTCAAAATAAAATAAAATGTAAATATATTAACAAGTGGGCTTAATATAAGACAATTTATTTGTATAATTAAATAAGTTTATGCATAATTTAATTGAAATGTTTTATAATAATCTATGAAATTCGTGTCAGTAATGGGACTAAGTCAAATAGTTATGATAGAAATAATAATAATAATTATTATTATACTTAATTAATTTTCTCCCATCCATTTGACCAGTTTCAAATATAGGTCTCCATCAAAATAATTTATTTATTTATTTATTAATTTTAAATCTTTTAAACGTATTGTTAACTAATGATTTAGTAGGTATTAATTACGGTATGGAATATAATTTGAGACCTAAAAATATGTGCCAGTGATCCAAAATCGGATAATTTTTTTTAAAAATTTATGTGTTAAGTTGTCAGACATTTGTTTTCAACGCTATAACGAACTTTATGTTGAGAATTATTGGGTGTGAGTCCCACATTGGTTAATTTAGTGGAAGATCATGGGTTTATAAGTGAGGAATAATATCTCCATTAGTACGAGGCATTTTGGGGAAACCCAAGATAACATTTGAGACATTTGAGATTATATAGGATTGTGTTAAAAACACACGATACACACTTATCATAAAGCTAGATATTAGGCGACGTATAACACTACTACTGACATCGTTACATGTTAGAATTTAGATAAATACTCGTTTTATGAGAATCCAACAAATGACCCACGATTAAAATAATTTTATAATACAAGGGTGATACTCGATACACGAAATTTGAAAGTGAAGTAAGGTCGGAAAAAGAGTAGAAGAGGGATTGGTTTGGGTGTGAGATGTGAAGTGAAGGAGACAAAGGCACATGATTTTAGCAAAGCAATGGGCATAGCGTGTGAAGTTGGCATGAATCAAAGTGAATTGAATTGAATTGAATTGCTTTGAATTGATTGTGTAAAAGATAAAAAGATGAAGAAAGGGAATGAGAGAGGGCCACTCGTTCATTATTAAAGATGCTTCCTTCACTTTGCCTCAAAACTTATTCTAATTTCCACACACCACCAATCAATCATCCCAATTCCAATCCCTTCTTTGGACTTATCCTACCTTTTTGTTGCTAATCTTTGACCCTCATGTCACAAATACATATTAGTGATGGAGACCAACGTCATAAGCACGATATTGAAATAACTTGATCATCTTCAATCTTGGCTGAGAATCTCACATGCTCTTAACATGTCAAACCCTTTTACTTGCTTTTAGGTTGAAGTTATTGTAATCTCTATTGTTTACATGTTTTCAATGATTTCTTCGCCCACGTTTTTAAGAACCTTTTCTCTCAAAACGTAGCTCGAGGCTTGATCATACACTAAAATTGTCTGCAAAATTCGATTTTGACACAGCTAGCTTGTTCGCTGGGTTAGAATAAGTGTTGTACAATTACTAGCTTGCTGCGGCTACAAAAAAAAGTGTGACGGTGACAAATGACATTCTTTGGCTAATTAGTTTAGCAAACTTTTAAGGGTTAAAATAAAGTTTAAGATGACTTTTAATCATGCCATTTGGACATATGGTAATAATCGAGCTAAAGCCATGATTATCGCTGTGTACATTTGATCATATAACCCTCAAAAGATTATATAAATTTCAGAGCCGGACATTTACATGTAGAATATTTTAACTACTTCCCAAAAGAGAAAGGAATGAGCAAAAGCCAAGACTCGATCAACGTTGTTCATATTTGACAAAGTTCCACTCATTTTTAGCTCGTTTTGATTACACCGCCAAGATTTTGGTTCTCATTTGACCATTTTTATTAACTTCCCAATAAACCCTTCTCTCTCCCTCTCTCTCTCTCTCTGTTTACTGAAAACCAGAGCCTGAGGAGCTCTTGGAAGCCATTGTTTTACATCAAGGACCAAGCTCTGTCTTCTCTTACAGTACGTTGTTTTCCCCCCCTTTGTTGTGAAGAAATCAGAAATTAGAAATGGGGGATAGATACAATCGCTTCAACCCACAAAAATTTCGCCAGAAAAACATGTTCTTGCCGATGCTCTGTTCTAAGCCGGCGATCAAAGACGGCCGGCCGCCCAGATGCGATGGAGCTCGTACAGAGTCCTTTTCCGGCGACCCTTTATCGCCGAGAATCGGATGTATGGGTCAAGTTAAGCGGAATAACAGAGTTGCAGGTCTTCCGATTTCTCACAGGATTTTGATTTCAACCAAGAACGCCGTTCTCAGCAATAAAAATGGCAGCAACGCCAATGTAGGTTACTTCAAGCTGAAGAAATTTTTCTCCAGCAAAAATCTCTTGGTTTCCCCCTCCACCACCGGAACCAGCATCACCAGGTCTACCGTTGCCGCCGCATCGATATCTACGGCGGGTGTCAACTGTTGTGGGAGCAGAAGAAGACCGGCCTTAAATGCTGCAATTTCGGGTAAGAAATGTGTTTCTGAAAACGGGAATTGTGATTTCTTTAGCGTTGTGGATTTGGATCCGCCGTTGCCGGTGATCCGGCGAGTGCAGAAGGCAGGAGAAGAAAGAGGGGAAATGGAGAATCTTTGGAAGAGGAGGTCAGGTGGCATTGTATTACAGAGCTTACAGATTCAACAAACCCATCTACCAAAGCATCGGCTTCAGATTACGAGTGTTTGAAGCGAAAACTTGGATATGGGCGATCATAGATTCAACGGAGAGTTCTGTAAATGATCTGTTCTCTTGTTCTTCGTTCTAGTTTTGGTTGTCTCAATCACAGGAGCTAAAGACTGTGATTGTAGCTCATTGTTAATATATATTTTTCTTCAAGTTCCAATTTTGTGTGTTAATTCGTATCTTCCTGCAAATTCTTGCATCGGAAACAAACAAACAACACATTTGCATCAGATCTGAAGAAATTGACGAACATGTTCTAAATGCAACAGTAGGCACAAGTTAATCAATTTGGATTATTCATAATTTTAAACAAAAATTGAGACAGAACAGCTTAGAACAACTCGCCTGCAATTGTAATGTACTTGAAATGGGTAGCAGAACTTTTACCAGACAGTCTTCTGCAGTGAAATCTGCTTCTTTTCCCCAAGAAAGTTTAATCAGAAAGGGCTCCGTTTCCTGCTTTCACAAAAAAGGGTTCTTTCTTTTGAGGATGAAGACATGGAAAAGCAAGATCATCTTTTCCTTTGGGCTCCTGCTGTTTAGCTTTCTTGTCTACTTGCCACGTCTAGCATGGGAGCTACTGGACATGAAGATGTTATTTCCTGTCTAAATTTCAAATCTCAATCAAATCATAAAAACAAATAGTTGACGTCTAAGCAAATTAATGTATGTGAAAAACATTAATTTAAAAAAGAGTTCATGTACTGCTGAAAGATTATCACCAACTTAATCGTACCGTTCACGGTCTAGGATTATTTCGAGAGCCCTGAACTATAAACAACTAAAAATGGTCATACCCAACTACATTTTATTTGTTAATGGAAACACAATGATATCTTTAATCTTATAACCTTTCCAAGTAGCACCTGATTCAAGTTTCAAAACTTCCAGTACAAAAAATGTGAATGTCAAGGATCACACATTGATATGAATAAAGCTGAATTCTCCAAGAAACAGTCAGCAACTAGTAATGTACAAGACTATTTATATACCATTTGACATTTCAATGTATATAGTATTTGGTTGTCCAAGGTTACATTCATCAGATAGAAATGGCAACGCTAATGCTTTATACTAAAATTCTACACTATTATTGTACATACAGAGTTAGGTTACCGTCAAATTTAATAATGAGTCAACCCTGTTCTCTGTATGGAGTCCAGATCAATTTGCTAACATCGACCTCTAGGCCCCCACGACCAGCAGCTTTGAGATGACGATCCAGCACCTTGGGGTCGGCACATATAACATGCTGTCCTTTCCTGTATTGAATCAACTCCAGGCTCTGAAGTGTGTTCAAAATATCTTCGGCTTTGATAGCTGTCATGTCACTTAGCTCCTGTCATAAAGGGATGACCAATGCGCCAAGTCTTAGGTACGAATCTTATGACTCGTAGTACATTCTAAAATTATTTGTTGCTTCAATAGCAATTAAAATAAATTTTGAGGAATAACACAACTTCAGTGGAATATTTTAAATTTCATCAAAGACATCAAGCAATAGAATCCACATAAGACTACAAACCCTGAACTTCAATAAGTGACAGAAATGCAAACCTTGATAGAGATATTGGCCTTGTGCTTTTTCAAGATGTCTAAAAGAACTCTGGTCCAGTACCCTCTGTAGCTCACCAATCCAAGGTCAGAAAGAGGTCTTTCAGGAGTCCCAACTTTACCTTCCTTCTTGGAGAGTTCATAAGCTGATCCCTCAGTTTCATAAAAGATCAAAACCTCCGTTAAAAACAAAGGTGAGACAACAGAAAAAGCAAAGGGTGAACTGTTGAACTAAAATAACAAATTAAACTTAAGTAAATCACGCAAACAAAAAACTACTGGTCCTTTTCAATGCTAGAGAAGAGAGCTCATCAAGCTTGCTAGAAGCAGATAAAATTAGCCCAAAAAATAGTCAGTTTAATGCACGTGAACTTACAAAAAGCTATTAAGAACTTGCCATAACCCTTCCTTTGATAAGGAGGAAGAGTGAGAATGCATGCCAGATTATAGGATTCCTCTGAATGCTTTTCCTGCACACCGACAGATAATAGTAAAAAAAACAATCCAGTTCGATTTCAAACACTTGAAAGGTATGAGAAGTTATGAACTTGTTTCGAGCTTATAAGTTCTAAAGCAATTTTTTGTAAATCCATCTTACATTTCATTATCCGCATGACACAAGTTTTCACTCCATTTTATACTTCTCAGTGTTGGCGCTAAACCCTCACAAGCCCTCCAAAGGGGGAAAAAACTACTAAAGCAAGGATCAGATATATTGCATAGTAGATAAATTGATTTTAAACAAAAATTACTTCTGTCGCCTTTTCCATTTTAAAAAAGTATGGTCATGTAACCCTACTACATAATATTATACCTTGCAAACTCAACCAAAACTGAAAAAAGACAAGACCGTCCTTTCTGTTGCTTATACCTTGAAGGTGAGGAATGGAAAGACTTGCTTTGGAAAGATACAATGGGTCTACAACGAGGCACTTAGCTCCAAATTCCCCATATATATCCCCAATAGCCAAACAGATCAGAACTGCTAAAGAATGGACCAAACTTGATTTTGAAGCTAGAGAGTGGATTTCTGTACTTGGCAGACGATACTCAGACCAACCAGAAGGCAAAAGAATATGAGGGCATACAAAATAAAAAAACCCGAAAAGGTAAGTCTGACCCTAATTACACAAGACTCCAATCCAAAACAACAATACCAATATCATAATTATAGAAGAGTCTAGAGACCGAAGTCCACGAGGAGTCATTAAACCTAGCTAACTCCCAAACGTCCTCACCCGATCTCTCCACCTCTCTTGTTGTTTCTCTCAATCCAAATATTCACCAAACTGTACATGCTTGTCACAATCCAAATATTCACCAAGAAAGTCCCGTTACATAATTGCAACTCCTCATACCTAATCCACCCATCTCATCAGGTTTCACAACCACCACTCACTTAACCTAGTGTAGCCTCTCCTCTCCTCAGATCCTTCCCACAAGAAATTCCTCATGACCCTCTTGAGATTCATACTCACAGAGACTAGAATTCTAAAAAGGGACATATAATAACTGGGAACTCCCACTCACCACTTCCTAAATGGGAGTAAGTTTCCCCATTAGATAAAAGACCTTTTCCACGTAGGCAACACTTCGAAAGTTCTCAAGGATAGGCTTCTAGAAGGACTTGCTCTTTGGATTCCCTCCCAGGGGGGCCATAAATAAGAGGGAGGCAACAATTCAACCCTAGGACAAAGTTCTTCCCTTGATTCGTACATTTTATAATTTCTCTCGCTCTTAGATGGATCTCCCTGTCCAAAATTCTTCATGATTACACGTCTTTTCATATTCATTCAAGAGGCTTAAGTCTCTATCAATCTTCTTTTGGCAAACGATAGTGTTTTCTTCCAACAACAACAGTAGTTATATTGAACCAAAATTACCTTTGAAAAATATCCAACCATGTGACACCCTCGATCATCACACTCACACAGGACATAAAACAGAAAAAGGTCTACATCATAGTAGAGGGTCTTGTGGTCCAGAAATAACTTTGCTAAGTAACAGAGATTCTGCCCATAAACCTTGTTCTTCTTTCCGTCGACCTGTTTCAAAGAAAAAAAAATCAGCAGAAAATAAATTATATGAGGAATTTCTGATCAACAATAATACAATCCTTGTTCTATAGCTTCAAGTGTATTACTGTTTGTGACCGGGTAAAAGAGAATGAAAGTATCAATTTAATAATAATTTAAAACAGAGTTTCACACAACGTGAGTAGAGATATCAATCTTGCTTGAAATGTTAGAATACAGTAGAAATTCCCACTGTGGCAACTATTTTTAGTCCAAAAATTAAAAGAAAAAAAGGAATTTTGACGATAAATGAGATAATAAAATAACGTGATGTACAACTGCAGCATTAACAAGCCAAAAGATTGAAAGCCTAATCAACAGCATACCTCAAACATTGACAAAGTGCCACATCGATATATTTCATCACCAGGTGGATGCTTCAGATCACACTTCCTCTACATGGACAAAAGCACATAACTTAAGACGGTTTGTTTTTACTTGGCAAGTACAAAGGACTAATGATAATGAAACGTGTAAATTCAACTAATTCAAGAAAGTGCATTCAACTTTATTCAATGATCCCAATTGGGCCATTATAAGAAGAAAATACATCTTATTTCTTTTCCAAAAACCTTATTATGATTTTCGGATGCCCTCAAAGTAGGTCCAAAAACCTTATTATGAATCACCATATATAAGTTGATAGCTGAAACAATAAAGATATGCATATGTTGTTGGCTTAACATGAAAAAAAAATGTTGGATAATCTTTTTCCCATAAAACGAATATATGTAATCCTAAAATCTGGATATCGCACAACAACAATCAATCTATCATAATGCTAGCATCTATAACTGGGCATGGGTAAAATCATTCGCTGAGATGTTCAAACATAGGCAACATTTCATACATTAATATAGGGAAGATGCAGCCATCAAGAAGGAAGTAAGACCAATAGTAATATATGTTCAACGACTCTTTTAACATCCACTATTTCACTATAGCATAACTGAGCAAATAAATGCACCCAGCCAGTCGGACATTATACCAAAATAAGGTCCAAACATGAAACTACAAAAAGATGTATCTTGAACACAACTCCATGAAGATTAAAAGAAAATTCATATTCCCAAAACTGAGCAGCAAACAGCACCAGCTCGATTTTATGCTCCCAAACAAAAGTTCAAAAATCTATTTACAGACACTATGGCCTAAAATCTCGTTCATAAACAACAAAAGACAGGATGGAGCATATCTCACCATATGTCTCTGTAGCTGTTCTTTGCGCTTCATGAAATTGAGACAAAACTCACAAAAATAAAGCTTTGTGGTGTCATTGTACTCTGGCGGAAAGGGGGAGAAATACCATGTCTCAATCTCATATCTTCCAAGTTCAATTGTTGCAATATTTTTCACTTTTGTAAATTCTTCATG